TGGTAATGTGTACATGGTATACATTAGGAAAAATGCCTTTGCTTCTATTCATTCACTAAAATGCTCTGAACAGAGCTGAAATGAACCAGCTGTGACTTTTACCAGAAGGGGCACATACAATCAATTTGGATCATTTAAGCTTATTGAAGACTTCAACTCATAAAGCACCAGTAAGTCTGAATCAACAACTCCCGTGATCTTTTATTGTCATAAATAAGATTTTAATTACCTCAAACAACAAGCATGCAATGAACTCCCCACTTTAATGGAGTTCTCGAACGTTTTATCTGGAGGTTTCTCTTTGTATTAACTGCAACTTTGGTTATTAGTGGAAATACAGCATGATTAAATTTCTATTAGTGTTATATGAACCTTTATTTAAGTTACCAACCACAGAACAGGAATGAGTGTGGAATAGGAAAAAAAGTTTAGGATACGATAGAAGCTGTTACAGATAACTGGCTGGACTGACAACAGAAAGCTGACTAGCCACAGAAGAAATGGAACAGGTCATCCTGTTTTAATGACTGGAATATTCTGAGTTTTCTTACTTTAAGGACACTTAATCACATCTGCAAAGTCTGTTGTGCCACATAAAGTAACATATTTGCAGCAGACATTTGGAAGAAGAGACATTATCTTGCCTACCAAAATCTCTACTGGCCTCTTTATTCCTTAAACTTAACAAACATCACCTGCCCCACGGCTTTTGCATAGCCTTATTCTACTAGGAAGCTCCAATTCATCTTTTCCCTCTAATAAGTATCGATGTCTCCATTGAAAGCTTCCACTCCCTATCAAAATACCCCTCTACTTCAGAGACTATAACACAAATGAAATTACATAGATAGTTACATGACCAATGTTTAATTTCTGTGTCACCACTGGAGTGTAAATACCTTGAAGGCAGGAACTGTGACTTTCTGACTTATCTTTGTGTACCAGCCCACATACAACAGAAGGTACTCAAGAAAAATGTGCTGCTAGGCAAGGAATAATGCTCAGTAACAGGAGGCGAGGGCATCTGAGGATCCAAATTGGGTTCAGTCTCCAAGGCATGGCATTGTAATGTGACTTCAACTTTCTTTTCTAACTTTAACTGAGCTGTAAAGAACACTGGTTACTGAAGAGCTTTCATCTTGTTTTGTTGTTTTGTTTGTACAAGGGCTTTCTTTGTTAACTATTAGACTGGATGTTTTTAAGTGCAGGAACTACAAGACTGAGTCCAGGATTCCAGCCAGAAAAATTCAGAGAGCTTTAATTTCTGGATGCCTACAAAGTTGTCTCAGATGACCTCAAAGAATTCCTGGGAAGCAACAAAACCTACAAAGTTGAGTTTGCTGCAATTTACCCTCAGGGAGCAGATCCAGCTTCTTGTGGGGCATATGTTTAAAATTCAGCCTGCAGAGCCGCAGCACAGAGGGAGCTGTTAAAATTCCCAAGGTCGTGACTGCATCTCAAGCAGATACTAAAGAAACCAGAAACAGCAATGCTGTTACACATAAGGCAAGGTACATTTACTCTCTAAAACCCAAAGAGGATGGAATGACTTCCCAAGAAACAAGTCCTCTTTATTCAAATGTATTTTAAATGATGCTACTTAGATAAAGAAATGCTTAATTCTACTAAACACACTGCTTTCTCCACTCCAGAATCTCACCACAGTGACACTAGTGACATTTTGGGGTTGGATGATTCCTTTTAGTGGGGACTGTCCTTTACACTGGGATGTATAACAGTATCCCTGGCCTCTACCAACTAGAAAGTAATACCATAACACTTCCAACAATGGCAATAAGCAGAAATGTCTCCAGACATGACCCAATGCCCCAGGGTGCAGGGGGGAGACGCTGTCCCCATCTGAGAACCACAGCTATATTCTACCAATCCTAGCACAATCTTCAACAATGATTCTTCTGTAGCCCTCATACATACTGCATGCAAAACAAATAATTAATGTCCCCAATGCTGATAAATTACTCCATGATAAATTAAATTTTCTTAATTTCATTCTAGTTTTTTGGAAAACAATTGTAGTTATGTGAAAAGAAACAAACCAAGTGTAAGATGCTCAAATAGTATAAAAACTGTAAAGAGAGATGGGTATTAATGAAGAACTCGAATAAAGCAACTTAACATGAAATATCACAGACACACTTTGGGCAAAAGCAAGGAACTTTCTTGTGCATATTTTAAAGGTAAATTTAATGCAGTTACTTAATCTCTGAAATTCAAGTTCCTCCAAATACACTGTTAATATGTTTCTCACAGTTTTAGAAAACAAGCTATGAATCAGATGAACTTCAATGAGGAACCCAATTGATATAGGCAGCCATATCATCTGACATTATTTAAAAGAAAAATATCCAAACAACCTGGTTAAACAATAAGCCTGGGCATGGTGGCTGCCATTTCTAATTGGCTTCTGAATTCAATGGCTCCCTCTGAGAAATGTAAAACTGAAATATTCACCAAAAGTCATGTGTTTCAAAAGAATATTAACCTCTGGCCGGGCGCTGTGGCTCACGCCTGTACTCCCAACACTTTGGGAGGCCGAGCAAGGTGGATCATTTGAGGTCAGGAATTCAAGACCAGCCTGGCCAACGTGGTGAAACCTCGTCTCTACTAAAAATACAAAAATTAGCTGGGCGTGGTGGCACACGCCTGTAATCCCAGCTACTTTGGAGGCTGGGGCAGGAGAATTGCTTGAACCCAGGAGGCAGAGACTGCAGTGAGCTGAGATCATGTGCCTGGGCAACAGTGAGACTCCATTTCAAAAAAAAAAAAAAGAAAGGAAAAAAAAAAAAGGTATTAATGTCTTTGATACATTATTCCCAGAATCAAATGTAAAGAGGAAACTGGTCACTTTGGGCATGAGGAAACGTAATTACACAGAGGCAAGGTTCCCAGTTCCCAGCTCTAGAGGTCTTCTTTTCCAAGGTAGCCATCTGATTGAGTTTTTAAGCTTTCAGGACAGGTCTTTTGTCCAAAACAACACGAAATGAACAAACGGCAACACAATTCTAAGACAAAGAAGCTTCAGAGCAAAGCTGGCTGGACACAAAGCTACCCCTTCAACTCATATTGCCAATGGGAACCTGTCAGTAAGACCAGAAGGAAAATCCTACACTTAAGAACATGATGTAATTTTGCTTCTAGGAATCAAGTTTTCCAAGTACAAATAAAGCTAAGACTTCTAAGAAATGATTCATTCCATTTTAAGGGTGGAAGAGAATCCATTAAGTAGAAACCCAACTCATGAAAGATATCATTATTGTGACTAGGACAGGAAGTTCCACAGATAGAGGAGTCCTAATGCAGGAAGAATTCTGATACTGACAATTTCTGAGCTAAACAAGAAAAAACATGAAGCATTTTCTCAGAATAGTTATCTCTGGTTTCTCCAGGAACAGTGGATAAGAAACAAATCTGCATGGCCATATAAGCATCTATAGAAAAATAAGTATTATTTTCTTATTGTGTAGCGGTTCTTCACCAGAGCTTCACGGATACTTACAGGGTTCAAAAATGGGCCTGAGGAGCTAGGGAGAATGATGAAATCCTATCAGTTACATGTAAATCTATGTGTAGGTACATACATGTGTCTTCTTTGTGAAGGGGGTCTCAAGAATTCATCAGATTATCAAAGCAGGACAAGACTTAGAAGCTATGAAATTCTAACAGCTGAAAACCTTCCTTGGCCATGTGGCTCCTTTGATTAACGTATGTTACCAGTGAAAAGTCACTCCACGTTTGAGTACAGCCATAGGCTAGAACTGTTACTGAAACACCCGGGGTTCAGACTAGGTCCGGCTGCTCGCTGCACAGAAAGCCAATCACTGAGATGACAAGCATTGCCAAGGAAGGCTTTAATTGGGTGCTGCAGCCGAGAGAGGAGATGTGAGCTCAGTCTCAAATCCAGCTCCCTGATTGACTAAAACTAGAGATTTAAATAGCATGGAGGAAACGTAACAATGTGTAAGAAAACAAGAACTAAGGAGGGGCAAGAAGGCATTTGGTGCAATGGTCTGGTGAGCTTCAGTCCTCTGATACTTTTTTGAGAGGCCTGAAGGTCCTTTCCTGAGGAAGGAACTCAAATAAAACAAATACAAGTGTGAAGCTTTAACAGCAGAAGGGCCAATTTCCATGTTTATCCAAAACAACTGTCTATAGGACTACTGCGCAGGTTTCAGAACCATATTCATTTTGTTCTTCCACACACTTCTAAGGCTTACCACATGGGGGACCTACCAAGAAACAAACATGTTCATCACAACAAAAGAACAGTCACACAACAATCATGATTAAAGGAAATATATAAGGTTGGCATTGGAAGAGATGTGCTCTCCCTACCCAACATTAATAAAGGAGTTGGAGACGTGCTCCCTCCCTCACCCTGGCTCTAAGCAGATACACAGCAGCATCTGACCTAGTGCACCCACACCCTTCTACTGTCCAGCAGGATGGATCACTGAGAAGACCGACACAGCAGAAGCAAAATGTCACCATCAATCCTAACAAAATTAACAGTGACTCATACCACCACAGCCTCTTTTTCAACAGCCACTGGGAGCAAAAAAAACCTTACAACTTTGCTACCAAGAGAAGGTTCTGAGACTCCTCTACATGTTGCCAACTTTTCTATTTTCTTAAGGGTGAAAATGAAGTCAACCCAGTTTCATACATAATGTCATCTTTCAAAAATGGGAACAGACAGTGAAAAGAAACTCTGTCAAATGAAACACATGATGAACATCATCAACCAGCAGTGAGTCTACTCAAACCACGATGCCTGTGGCTTCTGTGTTTCTCCAGTCAAACAAAGGCAAGAAACAAGGACGGATACCCACCTGCCATACTACGGATAAAGGGTTTCCAGAGAGATGAAGTTAGGTACTGTACAGGTGTGATTTGCAAAATGACTGAGGGTAAGGACATAGCATCTGATTAACATAAAGACTGAAGCACAGCTACACGTTGAGATCTTGACTTTCTCTCACCTCAACAGGAAACCTCCTGCCATCGATGCTGTGTTCAGAGCCCGCTGAGCCATTGCTGTGGCCCCAATGAAATTCCACCTTCTCGGCTTTGAATCTGCCAGGCAGACCAGCTCCACTGACAAAATAGTCGTCTTTCAGAAGGATGGCAACTGTGTGAAATGAATGAGAAGAGAGGAAAACAAATTGAGTTTCAAAATCAAACGGAGTTGTCCTGTTACTTCTAATAAAGTTCATGACTACTATGATGTGAATTATGTCCTCATGTACCTGTGAAAAAATACGAACACACCCGCCTGAATAAATTAGTTCATTCTAGCTGCAGAATGCTCTCAGAGCATCAGTTGGCCCTAAATCATGACACTTTCCAGAGAATGATCTCAGAATTACTTATCCATTTAACAGATTTTAAAAAAATGGAGACAATGACAGAATAAGTCACTCTGAATCAGTGTCTCCTAAAACTGCTTGATGGTCAAAATCATCTAGAGAGCAAGATTCTTCTTTTTAAGCACTGATTCATGGGGCTACCCCAAGATTCAAGGTCTGGAACCAGATAGGAAATATATAATCAGCCAGATGCAATAGGCATGTTTCTTTGGTCAGAAAATGCAGGCAAGATATCAGGAAACAAAAATTTGTGAATGCTTCCAATATTAAGGCAACAGTAAGTGGGAAGAGAGCTGGGAGTCTGTTATTTAATAACAGTACCCAGGGAAGTGTAATGCAAAATCTACTCTTGGAGTCACTCAAATACTGGCAGATAACTAGTTTTCTTTACTTTTTCTTTTAGTTCCAAGCAAAAAATAATTTCCCTTAACCCATCCAAAGAATACATGAGAAGTATCCACAACATAGGGAACCTCAATTAAATTCCAACCCTAAATTTCAAAAATATACTGCTCTTTCTTGAAATACAGGAAGGAGAAATTGAGAATAACTTGGATTTACACTAACAAAAAATATTTTTCCAAAAGGAATATAATGTCTAAATAAAAAACAAATTCTTTTCAAGTGATATATTCCCTTTCTTTGTTTCTCTAGAAGTGAATTCATTCATTCATTCATTCAATAAATACTTACTGGCTGCTAAATACATGTAAGGTGCCAAACAATATACCGAATGGTTTGTGATCGAAAGCCAAGCTTCTGTAAGCCATGGGAAATTGCTTATCCTCATTGTCTCCTCTTCCTAAAGCGATCCTAGTTAGGGCTTTAGTGAGAAATCCTGCATGAAAATTAGGTCTCCATAAAAGATAGGGACTAGGCTAATGACCCATTTCTAGAATACTGCAATTAGTTTCAGTACTTCTCTATGTAAAGGAAGCATTAAAAGCAAGTGAAGGAACTTTCTCATATAAATCCCTTTTTATTGTATTCAAAAGGCAGTTTTTCTCCAACTTTTGAAAAAATATACAAGGAATGCCCAATTAGAAGAACAGCAAATTAAAGGATAAAATGAAGTAAAAGCAAGTGTTTCTCGTGCCAATTAAACATGCTACAGCACTGTGCCACCTTCACCCTGTGTTGGGCATGTTTTAGAACAGGGGTCATAAACTTTTCCTGTAAAGGGCCAGTTGGTAAATATTTTAGGCTTTGCAGGCCAACTGGTCTCTAGTGTAACTACTCACTCTTGTCTTTATAGCACAGAAGCAGCCAAAGATAATACTTAAATGAATGGGTGAGGCTATGTTCCAATAAACCTTTATTTAATCACACCAATATTTAAATTTGACAAAATTTTCAATGTGTCATGAAATATTACCACCTTTTGATTTTCAAATAATTATTTAAAACTGTAAAAATGAGAGACTCATCATTGTGTGACATAAATATAGTATCTTAGAAGATAATATCTAAAATCTTATATATCTATATATACAGATATTAGAAAACATCTTCTAAAATATTATATGATACCAACCACATACCTTTAGTTCTGATATCAAAACATTTAGGCATTAGCTCAGTAGTGTTTCAAACACTGTTGATCCTTCTCAGCCAGTTGTAAGTTCCATACATAACATTATGCATCCAAAGGACGAAGGCAAAACATTTTGATTCCATCTGTTACAATACACCCAGGGAATCAGCAGCATCTTATAAATATTTGATTTTACCTAAATCATTTATATCTCTGTCAGGGGTCATTTTACTTGTTTTATATGAATAATTAAAAGCATAATTAGGGAACTGTACAATCTGAAACATTAATCTCATTTTTCATTTTACAGTGTTTCTCACCAGAGCACACAGCATGTTACATGTCCACCTACCCCTTTCAAACATGTCATATATTTTTGTTTACACATGAAACTGGAATGAGAGAACTTTCCCAGCTAACACATTTTCTGATGACGGGTGTAACACTGAACTGTTTGAAACAGAATATACTGAAGGTAGTCACTGCAGAGCACAAGATGTCATGCATATGAGCTCAAGACACGTTGGGACTCCATTCTGCCACTTAACAGTGGTGGGACCTCAGGGAGGTTACCCAACTTCTCTGTGCCTCAGTTTCCGCAACTGTTCAAATGGGATAATTACTGCAGTGCCTACCTGGCTGGGCTATTTTGACACCTGGAGAAAAATCACACTGGGAAAGCAGATGATCCAGGGCCAGGAAGCCAGCAAGCACATATGCAGTGGCGGTTATTTTCAAACTCATTTTTAGAATCAAGGCTGGAGCTCCTGGACAGCACGGAAGACTGGCCACATAGGTGTAACTCTGTTTTCAGAGAAAGTTATACTTTAAAGTAATACTGTCTTTCCCACACAATAACAAGTGTCATTAGAGACAGGGACAATAGCAAGAGCAGGGATGGCTCAAATATTATTTGGGAGGAGATCTTTTATTTATTTTTTTTTTTGAGATGGCGTCTACCTCTGTCAGTTCTGAAGAGCAGGGAAGTGAGAAAGCTTCTCAAGAGAATGTTCAAAACCTAAAGCAATATGGAAACATCTGCATGCCAAAAAGGATGTGACACTGGTCTTTTTTCTCTGGATGCTTCTCTCTGGATGTCTTTTCCCACGTCTTCCTCTTTTCTGTTACCTAGGTCTGCACCGTTCTTTCTACATTCTAAGTTCTCTGTAATTTGGCACTCAAGTCTGCCCTGGGTAAGAATATACGGGCAGAAACAGCAATAAGATACCATTTGGAGTCTATTAAATTGGTAAGGACTTTTTTTCTTTTTTTTTTTTTTTTGAGACAGAGTCTCGCTCTGTTGCCCAGGCTGGAATGCCATGGGGCGATCTCAGCCAACTGCTCAAGTGATTCTCCTGCCTCACCGTTCTGAGTAGCTGGGATTATAGGCATGAGCCACCATGCCTGGCTAATTTTTGTATTTTTAGTAGAGACAGGGTTTCACCATGTTAGCCAGGCTGGTCTCGAACTCCTGACCTCAAGAGATTCACCCACCTTGGCCTCCCAGTGCCAGAATTACATAGGTGTGAGTCACTGTGCCCAGACTGGGCCTGGGGGAGAGATCTTAAGTACTAGGTAGATGCTTTTAGTTCACTAAAACCCAGAATAAAAAAGATACTGCCTTTTCTGAATTATTTCTATCTTTTTCATCATATCAAAGAAAATAAAATCATAGTTGGGTGCTCATATAACCCGTATAGTTCCCTGATACTCATTCATTTCCCATTTTTACTCAAGAGTAAGCATAACACTAAAATTTAATAACATGAGCAAGGTTGATTTATTTTTGTAGATTATGGACATATTTCTAGCATTAAGTCTCTACCAGTCAAACAGAACTGGTTTTTCCAATAATGGTGTTGATAAAGAGTTTTCTTTTAAAATCAATTCATGTAATCAAAATGAAGTAAGTAAATTAGAAGAAAATGCCACTATAAAAATAATAAATATGGCCGGGCACGGTGGCTCACGCCTATAATCCCAGCACTTTGGGAGGCCAAGGCAGGCAGATCATGAGGTAAGGAGACAGAGACCATCCTGGCTAACATGGTGAAACCCCGTCTCTACTAAAAATACAAAAAATTAGCCGGGCGTGGTGGTGGGTACCTGTAGTCCCAGCTACTCGGGAGGCTGAGGCAAGAGAACGGTGTGAACCTGGGAGGTGGAGCTTGCAGTGAGCTGAGATTGTGCCACTGCACTCCAGCCTGGGCGACAGAGCGAGACTCCGTCTCAAAATAATAATAATAATAATAAAAAATACAAATAAAATTTAATCTAAAAATTAAAACAACAGCAGGAAAAGCTGAATTTGGATAAGGCACAAACTGGAAGGTGCCAAAGCTAACAGCTAAAGACAGGAGAAGAATGAATGGTGTTATAGATCGAATGTTTATCTCCCTGGAAACTCACAAATTGAAACCCCAATCCCCCATGTAATGGTATGATGAGTCAGGGCCTTTGGGAGGTGATTAGGCTATGAGGGTGGAACCCTCATGAATGGGATTAGTGCACTTAAAAAAGAGATCCCCAGGCCAGGTACAGTGGCTCACACTTGTAATCCCAGTGCTTCGGGAGGCCAGGGGCGGCGGATCACCTGAGGTCAGGAGTTTGAGACCAGCCTGGCCAACATAGTGAAACTCCGTGTCTACTAAAAGTACAAAAAGTTAGCCGAGTGTGGTGGCAGGCACCTGTAATCTCAGTTACTCAACAGGCTGAGGCAGGAAAATTGCTTGAACCCGGGAGGTGGAGGCTGCGGTGACCGAGATCATGCCACTGCATTCCAGCCTAGATGACAGAATGAGACTCTGTCAAAAAAAAAAAAAAAAAAAAGAGGCTCCCAGCCAGCTGCCTTCCCTTCTACCATGGAATATGAGAAGTTATCATCTATGAATCAGAAAGCAGGCCCTCACCAGACACTGAATCTGCTGGTGCCTTAATCTTGGAACTCCAGCCTCCAGAACGCTGAGAAATTTTTATTGTTTAGGCCACCCAGTTTATGTTATTTTGTTATAGTAGCCTGAACTAACTAAGACAGTTGGGCTAAGAGAGAAAGACAGGAAAGGTCTATGTGGTGAATGAAGTTTCTAGAACTATCCTGATTGTGATTAATGTAGATTGTGATGAAATAAAAGCAGAATGACGGAGAAAAGAGAAGAAGCTGGAAGCTTCAAATTCAAGGTTTCTTAACCTAGAGTCCAAAAGTCCACAGCTGTGGCTATGTATGGGCTC